GCTAGTCTTTATAGTAAAAAGAAAAACTGAGAATGCCCTTTCCAGATTGAAAGTAGTTTTCGGAACTGATTTCCGTCGCTGATGAGCAGCGTGAAAGACGTAAATTGCGTACCTCCCGAATGCACCCCATTTACAACTGAGTTGTACCAGACGTGCACCCCATTTCGAAATCAGTGTACGCCATTTGGGACCTGAACACCTGGCAGCCCTGGTATATGGCCGTAATACTGTCCCTGTTAAACCGCCTTAATTCGGCTTAAAACGACCGTTTACGGTGGTCTGTTTTGATCGACCTGGGCAATAGTAGAACTAATGTTTAGTCTACCAAAAATAGAGAGCTAAACATGTTTCAATAATAGACTTTGTCGTCGTGTCATGTATAGAATATATTGAGTATCAAGTATTCGATACGATAGAACATCAACAATTACGCAATAACGAAATACAAAAAGATAATCACGAGATGAATCATAGTTGAGAGATTACGTAACAAATTAAATTAGAAATTCAAAAAATAGATAGCATACGAGAAACGTTTAGCGTCAGTGAGTGTCATCTACTGACCCTACAAATTCAAAAGAAAATTTAATTCTATTGTTATGAATGTTAAATATATTCCATCAGTTTAATTCGCTGATATAGTTGATATATCATTGAAATGATATGTGATTCAGATTTCAAGACTAACAATTGTCAATAGGACAATTCTCATCGGAAGCTTCCTTCGTGAGGGATTATTCTTGGATGAAATAATGTTTGCGACTTTTTCTAAGAATACACTTATGAATTTTGAATATCACTGGATTATTCATTTCGTCTAATTATTTGTGGTTTAAATAATGATTTAGTTCCAGTACCTGTCGTGATTCAAATTGGCACACACAGTTTATTCGACCTTGAATAGCTTTCGCATTCAAGCATCGATATAATATGAGGACAGAAAAAAAACAGTCATATGAATATATTGCTTTTTAATATCTATGGTTTCAGTCCTGGATTTTCCACTAAAGATTTTCTTTATATGTTATCATAGTATTTTACTACTATAGATAGATGTATCAATTACGTATTCAAATCTTATTTGAAAAGAAGTTTACATTAATGCAATGCATTACTTGGATGTGAGTACAAAAACACGTGTTTTACATTTTCGCAAAATATAACGTATAACTATTTTGAGTATTGATTGCTTAAATAAACCTGCAAATGTCCCATGTAATAAAAACCGCGTGAAAATCGGCGGTTAACCGCGGTTTTACCGGTCCGGTTACCGGCTCTCATTACCGCAGAACGGATAAATACCGCGGTTTACCACAAAAATTGATCCGGTATTCGCAACATGGGGTGTATATCAAATAAGGCATTATTCACCTTCACTGTAAAATGTATGGTTACTTACTTTCTTTCTTTTTATGACTGTGCTTTTTCAATTGCCAAGTACCAAAATCAAATATTTAATGATGTTTGTGCTCGAAAGAATGTACTAGTACGATTAACATCTGCCATAGAGTGACTAATTTCGTAACAGTAAAAAAACAATATATATATAATTGAATTAAAGTCTTCGTTTTTCAGATATGATTCGTTTATGTACAACTTCATTATGGGTTTGTATTGTTGTTTTTCGTGTCTGTTCTGTCTTGTTTAAAATATTTTATAGGACAAAAATGCCACTCATTCATCATATCCATATTTAACCGAATGCTTTCGAAATACAATTTTACAATGGGTTCCTATCAGTATATTTTGGTTAATTTTACCATTGTGGCTCTTTGTATTAAACAGACGACAAATAAAATCGCAATCACTTATAGTTTCTAGACTATTCATTAATAAAATGGTAAATACATCAGATTAATTATTTCGATATATTCTATATTAAAATAAATATTAATTATAGATTCTCACTTGTCTATTTATTTTCTTACAACTGATTCATATTATAAATTATTTCGTTCCGTCAACAGAAGTAAAAGATTTTGTTTATCTTTTTACTCGAATATTATATTTAATAACAACAATTTGTATTCTTTGGCTAATCAATTATGATCGATTGAAAAATATTTTTTCTTCTGGTTTACTTTTTATCTATTGGCTATTAGTTTTATTAGCCACTATACCTGATCTAATTGATTATTCTATTAAAATTTATCAACAAGTAATAACTAGTTCTAAAGACGGTTTCATATTCACGATAGCAATGTTCATTTATAGATTCAATCACTATCATGGTGGATAAAATTTATCGCTGCTTGTCTTCAATTTTGCGTAGTATTATGTTTATTTATCGCAAATTGTTTTGCTGAAAAATATAATGCTCCTGAAGCAACACTTCATGAACGAGTATGATTAAGTACTTAGGATTTTGGTTTTTCATTTTAAAAAAAATCTTATAGCCACTTGTTCCTGAATTCTATGCAAGTTTTCCATCTCGAATCCTTTATTCATGGGTAACACCATTGATTCTTAAAGGCTACAGAAAGCCACTTACAGAAAAGGATTGTTGGGAATTGCCAATGTTTGAACGAACTGCTACTGTTGTTGATCAAGTACGAAATTATATGAAATGGTAAAAACATCTATTATTTTCTTGCTTAACTTGATTATCAATGAATAGTTGGAAATTAAACACTCAATACGAAAAAATATCCATGAAAAAGATTCAAATTTTGGATTCAAATCCATTAGAAGATGAACATCGAAATTTAGTAAATGCGTTTTTTATTTTATCTTAATAATAATATTTTCAGTTTCTTTTTTTGTGTTAGCTGAATAATATCGTAAGTAATTATGTTTTTATTGTTCATGATCACCCACAAAAAAGTCTATTTAAAGCCGACTGTTGACGTGAAGCAGTCTTCTTCGAAAAATAGGAAAACATCTATGTTCTGGTATGCTTTGTTTTGTGCATACAAAGAGGAGATTTTTATTGGTGCCGTCATTAAGCTTGTGCACGATATTTTACAATTCAGTGGCCCTATGATTTTAAAGTAGAATATCGTTGATCTTGTTTTTTATTTTTATCGAAATAATAATTTATTTTCTTTAAGATTACTTCTTAAGGATTTTACGGACCTGAATAAACCAAAATGGTTGGGCGTGTTCTATGCTAGTCTTCTAAGCATAGTTGTTTTTTGTCAAATAATACTTTTACGAGCTTATTTTCATTGCCAATTTCTTGTCGGACTTCGATTCCGTTCGGCAATTACTGGACTTATCTATCGTAAGGTTAGTTACATTTTACTCTTGTAGAGCATACATAAAAACGAAGTTGAGTCTATCACTTCTGCTGTAATAGAATGTGAAATTCGGTCTAGTTCCAAATTACAGAAAGTTAAACCTATTTTTTCGCACTATTATATCGTGATTCGTTGATTTATCAAGTTCTTGTATTGTTAACATACAAAGCATGAATTGTTCAAGTGATGAAGTGTTTTAGAGTAGTTACTAACGAATAGTCATAAAAGGAGAAAATGTATGTGAGTTGAATATTTTAGTATCAAAGAGACTTTTATGACAATAATTTTAGGTATTGCTTTCTTTTTAGAGCTTGAAACTATCAAATGCATCTAAACAAGAGACAACAACTGGTGAAATTGTTAATCTAGTTTGTTGAAATTTATGCTATCGGACTCTATACTGTTTTTACTTTTCCCCCTTCTAGATGGCTATAGATGCTTCACGATTTGCTGAAGTAACACAACATATTCATGTTCTGTGGTCAGGTATGTCGTGTTTAATTTAATTCTAGAAATGCTTGGATCTATTTATTACCATTATGTTTTGAAAGGACCGTTTCAACTTCTAATCGCATTGATTTTACTCTATCGAGAAATGAAATTTTCAATAATACCTGGAGTTACATTATTATTTATAATGATTCCAACGAATTTATACTTACATCGAATTCAAAAGAAACTTACAGTTTGTATAAAAATAATTGGTATTTTCTTAATTAATTTTTATTGAATTAGTTTAAACAAATGAAAATAAAAGATCAAAGAATTAAAATGATGAATGAAATACTCAATGGAATTCGAGTATTAAAGTTATATGCATGGGAAGTAGCATTTATTCGTTCTATAACTCGTATTCGAGATGAAGAACTTGGATACATACGAAAAAAAGCTATACTAACTGCAATATCCAATATCCTTTGGACATTTACACCAATTCTTGTAAAAAAACTATTAGAAAATGAATTGTTGTTCAGAATTGACTTTATTTTAAAGGTCGGCATACTGACATTTGCGACTTATGTGCTTTCATCCGACACGAATATTTTAACAGCTGATAAAGCATTCGTATCATTAGCATTATTTAATTTACTTCGTAGTCCACTTGTTGTTTTTCCTAATGTTATGACGAATGTGGTTGAAGTAGATTGAAAAAACTTTCTTTTGTATGCTACATTTGCTAGTGTTTCTCTATAGGCACGTGTATCGAATAAACGAATTGAAAACTTTTTGAACAATGAAGAGATCGATGAAGATGCTGTTGATAAAATATCTATGGATTCTAGTAAGTAAGAAAATGATTTATCGAATAGAATCAGTCAGCTTGTAACTTTTCAGATAAATATGCAGTGAAAATTGAAAATAGTTCCTTTCGTTGGTCGAATCTTGTTGATGATCCAATAATTTTAAAAAAGTCAGTAGAAAATAAATATTTCCTTTCTATGTTATAGATAGTATGTTTCTTTTGCTCATTTAAAGTATTAATATGCAAATTGAACAAGGCTCACTGATTGCATTTATTGGCATGGTTGGATCAGGCAAAAGTAGTATTCTAGCAGCATTACTTGGTGAAATAAATAAAGTTCACGGTCATGTGAGTATTAGCGGAACTATTGCTTATGTACCACAAACAGCATGGATTATGAATACAACATTGAAAGAAAACATACTTTTCGGAAGAGACTTTGATAGACATTTATACAATCGTGTCATAGAAGCTTGTGCTTTAAAACAAGATCTTGGTAGGACGATGATTCGCAAAGAGTATTGAGCTAGAATATAGTTTCATTTATAGATATGCTTCCGGCAAATGATGAAACTGAAATTGGTGAAAAAGTACGTATAGTGATGAATTCTATTCTAAACTTGAACTGATTGCTTATTATATAGGGTATTAATTTGTCTGGTGGACAACGACAACGAGTTTCATTAGCTCGAGCATTATATAGTAATGCTGATATATTTCTTCTTGATGATCCACTTTCAGCTGTTGATGCACATGTCGGTGCTCATATTTTCAAAAATGTCATTGGACCTAAAGGATTATTGTATGGAAAAGTAAGTGTGAATAAACATTAGCTATTTAAAATAATATCTCAATTGTAATAATATAGACTCGTCTTTTGGTTACACATGGTATATCGCATTTAAGTAAATGTGATGATATTATTGTTGTTTCACAAGGTGAAATTATTGACCATGGATCATACAATGATTTAATGATTAGAAGTAGTATATTACAAGATTTTGTTAATTCCGTTCCTACATCGCACGATGAGGGCTATCAACGTCAAACAAGCGACCTCGGTAAGAACAAGATAGTGAAAACGATGTTAGCACAGTTTTTGCCGAATATATCTAAAATAAATCGTATATCAGCAAGGTCTCAAAAGAATATGTATACTTATTGATCTAAGATTTCAGAAGGAAGAACGCATATCACGTTCTATTAGAAGCCAATATGTTTCAACATGCGTCTGATAATAATCTACTAAATTTATTTTAGAAAGCTCAAAAAGTATTCCTACAACTCCATTAGAATTAATTGCAAATCCATTTGAAAGCATTGAACATGATACTCAACAAAATGAATTACAACCAATAATCAATGAAATAGCAGAAGAAAAGAGAAAAACCATTGAGAAGGAATTCGTACAGACAGGTTCGGTAAGTTTTTCAAATATGTTTTCATGCAAGATTTTAAGTAAAATAGAATGATAGGTAAAGCTTAACATATTTTTCATTTACATTCGTTCATGTAAACTATTCATGGTTGGATTAGTTATGATTTTCTTTGGTTTAACTATATGTGCATCGTTGAGTACTAATATTTGGTTATCGAAATGGACCGATACAGTAAAATCAAAAACTCTAACAAATAATACATCATCACGTAGTAATCAAATTTATTATATGAATATTTATTCAATATTGGGACTTATTCAAGGTATTCATAAAGAAAATATTTTAATGATCTTTTTACTTTCGTCAAACTTCTTTCAGGTTTTCTTAGTTTTACTATGCAATTAATACAAAAATTTGCTTCATATATTGCTGGTAGAAAATTACATTGGATGATTCTAATTGGAATTCTTCATGCACCATCGTCTTTCTTTGATACAACACCAATTGGTCGTATTATTAATCGGTTTTCTAAAGATATTGATGCAGTAGATTCAACATTACCTAATGGCTTTTCTCAATCACTCACTGTATTTATTACAGTTATTGCAACATTAATAATACTCATCTATGGATCATGGTTTGCTCTCATTGAATTATTACCCCTTGCTTGTCTTTTTATATATATTCAGGTAAAATCCGTCTTATTCAATATTGTAACATACCGAATTGTTTGTATATATGTTATAAGCGCGTTTATGTGTCATCTTCTCGACAACTTCGCCGTCTCGATTCTATTACACGTAGTTCGATTTATGCAAATTTTAGCGAAACAATTCAAGGACTTACTTCAATTCGTGCTTATCAAGCACAACAACGTTTCATTGATTTATCCGATAAATTTATGGATAGAAATCAATCATGTCATTTAGCTAGTTCTGTTGCTAACAGGTTTGACTGATGAGTTATCCAAAAACAAAAATTCGTTTTCTCCTCTTCTATTGATTATTAGATGGCTTGGTCTTCGTTTAGAAATGATTGCTAATTTATTGACATTATTTACAGCTATAACGGCTGTATTTATGCGTGATCGTTTGACAGCTGGTACCGTTGGTTTAATGATAACATTTGCTCTACAAATTACACATTCGCTCAATATGCTTGTTCGCGTATCAAGTGATGTTGAAACAAATATTGTTAGTGTAGAACGTATCGATGAATATGCTAAATTGAAATCGGAAGCTTCATGGGATATTCAGTCAGAAAAACCACCGCCGTATTGGCCAATAAAAGGAAATATTCAGTAAATTAATTCTGTAGAATAGTTTTTATTCGTATGAAATTCATATTTCTTTAGTATTACAAACTTATCAACACGTTACAGAGAAAATTTGCAGTTGATATTAAAAGATTTATCTATTGATATTCAATCTGGAGAAAAAGTATTTAAAGTCTTGAGTAGAAAATCAGCATGCATCTAAACTAACTTTTAGATTGGAATCATCGGTCGAACGGGTAGTGGAAAGAGTAGTTTGTGTTTATCTCTTTTTCGTATTATTGAACCAACAAATGGCACAATATTTATTGACAATGTTGATATTCAGCTTATTGGTTTACATGATTTACGATCAAAAATTACTATTATTCCACAAGTAAATCATGTTCTATAGTTACAAACCGATTCGATAGATACTATTGTAGGATGCAGTTATTTTTGCGGGTACTATACGATTCAATATCGATCCATTCAGTAATTATAGTGATACGGAGATATGGAATGTATTAGAGTTGGTGCATCTCAAAGAACGTATTCATATGATGGAAAATGGTTTGTCATATCTTTTAGCAGAAGGAGGTCAGAATATGAGGTGAATGAAAATACTTTCATTCGTTTATATATTTGATGATGTTTCTTTTTATTAGTGCTGGTGAGAAACAATTATTATGTTTGGCACGTGCTCTGTTAAGGAAAAGTAAAATATTTATATTTGATGAAGCAACGGCTGGTAAGTTTTAGACTGTATCAAATGAGACCAAACAGAAGTTTTGAAAGTATAAAAGTAAAACTTTATACTTCGTCATCCATATGTCTCATTCTTAAGCACGATGCAGAAATGTGTCTTAGAACAAATTCATTGTTGTGTGTTATAGTTTCTTTCGCCAAAGATCGTGCGAAAATGGCTTTGTTTTGTTTTAACTATGTGATTTTAGCTATTGATATGGAAACCGATCGACTTATTCAACAGACGATTCGTTCAAGATTTAAAGATGCAACTGTATTGACTATTGCTCATCGTTTACATACAATTCTAGACAGTACAAAGTATGCTATAATTTGATTTTGTTTTAACATAGGAAATACAATTTGTATTCTATTTCATTTAGAATTCTTGTTTTATCCAATGGTAGTTTACAAGAATATGATGAACCAAAACGCTTAGCTGCTGATTCAAATTCAGCATTTGCAAAACTTTTAAGTGATGCTAATATTCATCTATCTGATATTGGGTCAATCAATTTATCGTGAAAAATACACGCATATGTCATTAGTAATCGCGTTAAAATGAAAAGAAACAAAAAAAGAACTTTATTATAATAGAAATCTGCTATAGCAATTCCAATTGATTTTTTTAACTTGGCATGTGTAGAAAAACATTTTTTCGGTCTTTATTTTCTTTATAGCTTCGTTTTGGGTGATAAGACGTAAAAATAAGCAGCCTTTTTTTCCATGGTTTACAACGTGTGTTTAAAAATTGATAGACAGTATCTCATATTGTTCGTGTCAGAGTCTGATGTCCAGAATAGGAGCTAATTTGGAAGGTTCATAGTTAATCATTTCATTTTTTGAAATAAAACCAAAAAAAACTATGAAATGATGAAATCAAATTGTCACGTTGTTTTGTAGCTATTGGCTACAGACGAAGTTGTACATACTGTTGGTGTCGAGCAAGCGCTATTCTCCTCGGAAATAACGTCCATAAAATGATTGCGGTCGATCAAGATATATCGATGAAGAGTCGCGAATAAAAGCCCATTATAAAGAAACATCGCTGGATGATGCAAATATTGTTATTACAGTGTCATAGACGCTGGTCATGATGACTGATTAATCTAAATCTAAATCTATATATTTATATTCAGCTCGTTTGACTAATAAAAATAAAAATCGTTTGTTGTAAAAGTTTCAACAGAATTATTGTTTAGACGATAAAATGATATCTTTATACATGAGAACTTTATGTTCACATCTATCAGACGTAACTATCTCGACTAGTATCATCTTAACTTACTTGTTCTTATTGCATATGTTTCAACTGTAACCGAAAAAGAAATAGGTCAAAGAAACCATAATGCTATGTTCATCGCCCTCGTCAACGTAACTTACTTACTGTTTAATAAAAGTGAAAATTTTATCAAGAATAAAGAAGAAAGGAAGTGTTACAGCGTAACCATCGAAAAAGCAGCACATTCTACTTGTTATTTGCTTGAAGTAAATATAGGAATAAAAAAGATTTGAAATAAATTATTGTCTACATTTAAAATTCGATTCAACAAAGGCTAGCTAGAAGTTTTTTTCTTTGCAAATCTACTGATATATGCTTCTTACTTTTTGTTGTCCATGTTTTACCATATGAAATGTGAATCATGTAGTCGACTCAGTCTCACATTCGTGTTCTCCTCTTTTTAACTATATAAATTTCAATTTTTTTTTCAATATCAGTACTCCATCTATTCTTGATGCTTTTAACTTTCTATCTATCTATTGACAGATTCTGTTAGTAAAGAAAAAGTTCGAATGTTTTATACAAAAGTTCAAGCTTTTCAATAGTACCTGTAGAGAAAACTTTTCGAGTAATTCGAATTATCTAAACAATTCGATAAGCAATATGTTTCTTTGAAAACTCGTTTGTCCTAGAACAATCCACAACGAGCATTAGCAATATTAGATATGGGATCAAATTTTATTATAGGAAATCTTTACAATACAATGAACACCTGTGCGAGTGTTCTAAAAGCAATCCTTATTTTAGACTAAATACCATAATGTTACATCGAATATTCTCTTTTGTGAATTTTTGTTTATTTATTTCCAATGAAACTTATATGTTCACTTTCACACATTATTACTTGTTATGCAAAGTTTCAGGTTGATACAGCAATGCGATCGAATCAGTATGACATGCAAGTTTTCTTTTCTGATAGAATGCTCTAAATTAATAAATACTTGAACGCTCAAATTGTTAATCTAAAATGATTGGTTTGAAACTTCAACAGGCAAAGTTCGATCGAACAATGGTTCTCAATTCACTTTTAAACACTGAAAAAAAAGTTCTCAAATGATAAAACAAAAATGATTACATAGTAAATAATTACAAACTCGATTGCAGACTAAGGGAAACATGAAGTCAAAGATAAGTAATTGAAGAGTCACATGAGAAAATTACGTTGTACTATTCGGACGTTCTCGCGTAAGCAATGCGTGCTTGTGCGTTGTAATAATTTGTTTCATTGTTGATAAAACAAAAAAAGAAGAGGAAAAAGAACAGACAAATTTCATCACGTTGTTTTTTTTCTTGAATACGTTTTCAAAAACCAAAGGTATTCGTTACTCGTGCTTTTCTTTCTAGTAAGTGTCTTCATATAAAATAAGTAATTTTGTTTTGTGCATTCACAACTGTGATCGTAACGGCAAATAAATATTATTAATTTTATTATGGAACGAACAAATCCGAAAACAAAAATTCAATCAGTTCGTTTTCAGGATATACTTGTACAAATTCAAACAGTTGATTTTAATGGTATTGAATGTTTGTGTTTGGAAGATGTTCAACGACGTTGTCCCTCCGTCACTGCATTATGTTTTGATAATATTCAATTGAGTTTTCTTCGTGATACTAATGGTGATCAACTTATTCCATTGCGAATCGAAGCAATCACAGATCAAATTATTGACGCTGTAGAACCTGTAGAACAATCGAATGTTGTCATGCACCGCTTTTTGAACCGGATCGATGCTAATATGCAAGAAATGAACAAAAAAACTGATATTATTCTTGCTAATACACAAGAAACTCTCATACGAATAAAACATGTTATGACACAAATGTACGAATTACATGAATATACTACACCTCGTTATTTTTTTATTCTACCAGCAAAACATCACAATTGGACATCGATCAATACTGTGCAGAATATGTTTCTTCTTCATTATAAACTCTACTTCTTATGTGAATGCTCAGATGAACCCGATAAACTGCACATAGCTCCACACGATGGTTATTCGATTAAGAAACCAAGTGAATTCATTGCTAGTTATGGATCGTATTTACGAACAACTGTAAATATTGCTCGAACGATATTATCTATCGGTGGTGTTGTTATTCCTCAATCAGAAACTGTATCGCCACTTGTAGCGAGTGCTTTGCCACCATTTACCAAGGAATCAAGTAATTACACGGATGTCAACAGCAAATTAGATGTAGTAGAAAAAATGTTGAATCAAACAAATGATGATCATGCACGTGTCGATTCATCAATGATACAAAAAGCAGTACTACCCAAAGTTCCTCTTCAAGGTGCACAATTACGAGAGCTTGAAGCTTTTCTGGAACATGTCGATGATCAGCACAGTTTAGGAAACTTATATCGAATCACTACGAATGATGGTCACGTCCGTTGGGTATGTTTGGAACACTATAATGCTATTGGCTATCATAGTAAAATGTCAGAATATGTTCGTCAATTGGAATCTATTGGCGGAAAATTTAGTTACGAAACGAAAGAAGTTATTCTAACGGGAAATTTAACGGCTAAGAATATTACAATGTTCTGTGACACGTTGACAAAAGGTTTCACAATTTTGACGCTCGTACTTGAAAACTGTTCGATTGACTCAAAAGATCTTGACAAATTATTTGATGTCATTATTAATCGTTCTTCTATTCAACGAATTGTAATCATAACTGTTGAAGTTCGTAAATGGATGAAAATGTCGAAATATATTTGTAATTATATGATGATTCATTTAAAAAATCAATCATTGAAAGTACAATTTTCGAATCAATGTCAAACTGAGGATGCAAGACTACTTGCTCGACTTCTACGACAAAATAAAATATGTCGAACATTTAATTTCTTCGGTTATGATATTCCCATCAACAGTCAAGATCTGTTACGTTGTCTCAAAGAGACTGGAGAACTAACAACATTAGTCATACATCATTTTATGAATATAGAATTCTTAAATGAGATTCTTACTTCGAATTGTTCACCAAGTCGAATAAAATTGAGTGATTGTTTTAATTTATCATCAACTTTATTTGGTCTTTGTCAAGCTGTTGGGCAAAATGAAAACCTTGTTGATCTTGATATTATGGATAATACTTGTATTGATGATAAAGCTGCTACTGTTGAACTTTTAACTGTATTACGAAAACATAAATCGATCAAATATGTCCGTCTACATGTTTTCAATATAAAACCGTCAAATGAAAATGAAACTTGTCTCATTACTTCATTGTTACAAGATTCATTTATTTCTCATTTACGCATATCAGAGTCCATTATTTCTCCTGAGCTTATAGAAGCACTTATTCATGCTGCTGAACAACGTCATTCATTAACCTATCTTGAGTTTTACAATAGTCAATTAAACTGTGATACTGTTTCTAGATTGCAGCTTTTATATGCAAATGAAAGTTTAACTCATTTATTCATATCTGAACAGCAATATTTTTCTACTGGAATCATAGAGATCCGAGAACAACTTAATAACGGTAAGAATTTATTAGAAAAATTAAATATAATAAATTAGTTTTTCATTTATTTCAGAAATTTCACACTATCAAAAAGCGAAGCTTGAAAAACAAATTACACAAGCTTACATTTATTCGTCGGTATGTTTAGATAATATGGATTTAGTCGATCAATACATGGAGACCATTGTCAAACAAACGATTATAATTAAACAATGTAGCTTTATATCTTTACAGTTCAATAAATTCACATCAATTGGCATATCAATATTAGCTGGTGCATTAACTGATAACAATACATTGGAAACATTATATCTTGGAAATAATTATATTTCTGATGGTGGTGTTTATTTTCTTGCTAACATACTTTCAGTGAATAATCATACTTTGAAAACACTTGTTCTTCAAAAGAATAGAATTACTGATAGAGGTGCAAAATATCTTGCACGCATGCTAGAAACCAATCAAACATTAGTATGGTTATATCTCGGCGAAAATGAAATTAGTGATGAAGGCGTTCGTGTATTGGCTCAAACAATTGAAAATCAAAATCATACATTAGAATTGTTAGTTCTCTCCAGTAATAAATTAGTGTCAGATGTGAGTATTGATTATCTTCGTCAAATGATCGAACATAATCAATCGTTGAAAAAACTATGGTTAGATGATTGTAGTTTATCAGAAACAGGCAAACAAACGCTCACTAAGATTCCAGAATCGAAGAAAGATTTTTATATTCGTGTATGATTATTTATGAATTGTTTGATGTAAAAAATATATGTATTATGTAAAAATCAATGTCGATTATCTAATTGTTTTTCCTAATAGAAGACGATAAGTATGTTGTATAACAGGAAATATAATAGTTTCAGAACAAGTGAGATGTATGGTGCGCGTATAAAATTGAATGTACATAAAAATTAGAAGTCATGACTTAGTTACTGAGACTTATGCTCATCTGAGCGATGATCAATACTTCTTTTTTTTTGGTATCATCATAATTGTTGATGATTTGTAGACATTTAGCAAATGAAAAATCTGAGACAGTTGATTCAACTTCAACAGCTTGATTGATATAATTTTCAGTGTTGTTTATTCATCATTGTTGATAATGCTGATGAATCGAGACCAAGTGTATTCAGAGTGCATATTTCGAGTTCTTTATTGATTAATATTTTATCGTTTATATTCGCATAAACACCACGAAACAACCAAATTAGTGATCCAAGGGTTCCCACGATGAGTTTGAATAAACGATTTAAGATGCCTAATAAAAATCCAGTTACACGACCTAATGTACCATCACGTTCGTAAACAATGCGTGGCATACTGGTTAAGTCTGTAAAACCATCTTTCCAACTGTAGATAAGAGAGAATATTGCTACTTCACAATCCGTTTGGAAATCAGCCACATATGGTCGCGAACGAATTGAAGATTCGCTGAAAATTCAAATAGTATTATTATTATTATCTATAATAGCTGGTGATCGAAAAATATTTCCGAGAATATTTTTGTTCGTTTTTGGGTCTTGTGAAAGTATTTCAGAAAAGTTTAAAAAAAACTATGGTTTAAAACCAGAAATTTGTGCTCTTTTCCAGTACCAACTCAGAAAATTTGTATCTGTTGTTGTACGACACAAGTGGATGACACTTTAACAGGCTTGAAAAACTACTTTGAAAGGAAATATTCTTGTATTTTCCCTACCTGGATCCTAAATTAAAAGTTGCAATCTTCAGAAACAAGTCAGATTATAGAGAAAAATTTACTCTGCGAAATGTACTATTCCAATTTATTTTGTCTTCTGATAAGGCATCTAGATTGTTTTTTCTTATGACACTCAGTTTTGAAAAATCGACTTCTTGAATGCAACCGTGTTTTGTGTAGAAAGTAATTAATACATGAGAAAATGCTTCTAATTTCATGTGTGTAAAAGCTAGATTTTCATTCGATATTACGTTTTGTACAGAATTGCCCGTTCTACAAAATTACTAAATTCATCCGTTGCTGACAACTTTACAGTGGAATTTACGTAGGTCCAAAATATATGTTTGTTCCCCTCACAAGTCAATCATGTGAAATGTTTCCGATTTTGAAAATGTTTTCCGGGTAATTTATCAACATCTTCAGTAAGATCCTATAATAAAGCACGATGACCAGTTTTCTTAAGCTCTTCAAGTACGACAGGAAATAGACGATCAGAATCATTGTCTGTGATTGAACCAAAACCAAAACCAATATAGATAATTGATGATGCTAATAATTCATTCCGATGATCATCATCAATGTCAAGAAATTTAATTAGATCATTGGGTCGTTTTTTATCAGCGGTAGCATCATGATTCAGCAAGAAAACTCCTGAAACATTAATATATGGTGGCCAATCGATTGGTTTAGGAACAATCGATGGCGACCAACAATAAGTAAACGGTACATGTTCATCAACCATAATAAATGTTGCTTGACGAAAATATGTAATGCTGGTAAACCAAGTATGTTATTACGAAAATTATTTGCAATATCATGCATAAATGACCAAGTCTATGATAGAAACAGAAAAAAATCATAGTTTATTTTACCTTCCATTATAGCTTACAAACATTTCAATAGAAATGTAAGATAAAAAATTAATTTTTTCTACAGACGTTTTCGAATAAGCAAGATTAGATAATGGATGTGGAAAAACCGATGTAGCTGACCACGGCATTGTAAACATAATATGTAGAGGAATTTGTAGTTTTTTTGCACAATGAATATGACCAAACGATGGTGGATTTGGAATAACAGTTTGAGCTGTAAGTGATTCACCAGTTTCATCAACTTCGACAGTACAAGCACGCCACGTTGATGAAATAATTTCAGTTAGAATATGGCGATATTGTGCTAGATCAACTGTAGTAATACTACTTACGGAAGGAATAATACCTGAGTTTTTCACCATAAAAGACATTAAGTCAGCTGGATCATCGGCTAATGAGGAAAAAAAATCTAGACCATTTTCATGAACAAATTTTCGGAATGTTTCATGTGTCACTCAACGAACACGATGGCCAACTGCTAAAAGCGCCTGACCAAGGCTAAAAATTAAAAACACAATATTCCTCTCTAAATTTAAACCATGAACAAATATGATTTCCTACGCTATGAATGGTTGAGCATCACCTCTTGTACCAACAATAAGTATTACAATGTTAATGCGTGGTATTTCAATATTACCACGAGTTCTTTTTATTGGCATTACTTGTTTGCTATTTTTTCTACAAGCAAAGAAAAGAAAAAGAGATGACGCACTCGTTTCACATTTTTCAAGTATAAATGTTTGGTAATGTGGTTAGAATATTGCCAGATAATATATCGCACCTACCGAAATTGACGATGCAATGAATTTTATTGAAGATCGAATCTCATTCACATAGAAATGGATTTCTATGGGGCATAATACTATTTATTGCTTAGCTATAATATTATGATCATCTGTGTGTTTTATGTGCACATATTATCTTTGCACAATTATACTTACCTGCGTATTCGCTACAGACAAATAAAACAGATGAGTAAAAGTTTTCGTTTATTGATAGTTATCAGAAGCAAATAGAACGAATAATGCACTGATATCCTACGATTGGGCAAACAAAGATTTTTTTAATTTCATGAGCATCATTCGTACATATTAACTTATTCTTATTAACGATAGGATATCAAAAAATAGAAAAAGATACACTTATATGTATTTATCAGTGAATTTCCCTTTTTAGAGTATGCTCTGAAATCGGCACATACGAGAAATCACATACTTTAGATCGGAAAAGAAACATTAATTCAATGATTAATAGAGTAGAGGATAATTAAATATGTGATTATACAGACGGCTACGGAGTTAATACGATCATTGAATGCCTTTATTGCAGCTTGTGTTTTTTTAAATGATTCATAAGAACAGCGAGATCGATAGTTTCTATTGTTCCGAAAGAAGATACTCCTCTTAGTATACTTTCTTCATAAACGATTATATGCAATGCTAAAGAAAAATCATATTATTGAAGCACATATTCACTTCATCTCTATCATAGGAATTTCTTCTGTAAACTATGAAAATTGTTATCAAATATAGATTACAATTATTATTTCTTTAAATATTCTACTCTTGTTTTTAGCAAGACACTTATTTTTCAATGAATATATTAATTTGCAACCCTGAATGTATTTCTCATCTACTGAATCAAAAAGTAATAGACTATAAGAAATACGAAAGGCGGCAGTGAAAAATGTTCAAAGGTATATCTCCTGTTACTAGTATCACAGACAGATGAATTAACTTTGGTATGTTTCATTAGCATCATTTAAATAAATCATCAAAAACAGAAAGAAGCAATAATTTATACCGAGATCGTATTTATTTTTAAAATAATATTATTTTCATTCGTAAGATAATCAAACAAACAAAAACGTGGTTAAACTGTGAGGAATATATTTTTGCAGCAAAACTCTACAATAATTTTATTTAATCGTATTGACAGTTGTTACACTTTTATCGGAGTTCAACGAATTTAGAATGTTTAACCAACGAGACATTATTGTGTAGCCATATTTAGATACTTTTTATCTTATACGAGCTTTTTCAAGGCTTAATTTTCGTTTCAATCTTACCGTCTCGACCTTTCGTCTTATTTCATTCATTGTGTAGCACGAGCACGGTGATAACGGGCCGAATATATTTGAATTTTTTCTCGCTTCTAATTTCAAGCTCAAGAAATTTAATAATTTACAATGTCTTTCCCAGTATGGTTTTGATTTATTTGATCTATTGAAATAAATTCAGTATCAGTGCCATGATCTTCCTCGATTAACGTATCTCAATATCACTCAGTATTTTCTTCATGGTACTGGTATATAGGCGAATAACGTACTACATAGCATTTGACACTTGTCTAAGCTTAGTTATTTAAAACTACGTATATGGAACTAATATTACAGTATTGGGATTAAAAATGGTTTACACTTTTCTTGATAAACAGAAGCTATAGAGGTTATTGATGAATTACAAGTGACTTTTGCCTTGGTGAACAGCAATGCTTTGTTCAGTTTGATTGGAAATCATTGAAAGACAACGCAGATCTACTTCACCTTATGCTTGTGGCAATTATGATTACCACTCAGTCAGTTTGTTCAAGATCTACTGTACCGAATGACTGCATTTGATGTTGTATTTATACAGGATGAAAATATAACTCATTTTCAAATACAAAAAATATTCGATGGAGCACCTAATCTGTATTCTATAACTATTGGACTTAATATTTCTGTTCGAATAGATTTTCTCGATATAGCACCACTGCACACTTAATGTTTGAATTAGAGGTGTAGGGTTAGCATTAAAAGTGAAAATAATACATTGATTTATTTCTCCAGGAAAATTGATTAATAATAAATCTTTAGAATTAAAAGTAATAACAGTGTTAGGAATGATAAAATAGGGAATAAATCCGCATTAAGTATTTTCTTTACCATAATACACCAATGCATTATTTTCATTGTTAATGCTAACCTGACACCTCTAGTTTGAATAATATAAATTTTACTACTTTGGTCTGTTCATAGTTTGGACTTCAATGTAAAATGCTGTCAATGAAAGTAGAAAATTCAACAAATATTTTTGACCTCATACAGCATATGCTTACTTTCCAATTATTAAAATTTCAAATAAACACAAAAATGACGAAGCTCTCATATGGTTTCGAACACAATTATCTAAAGAATATTCGTTGAGGAGAGCATTATAGAAGCCAGAGATGGGCAAGTCAGCGTTTTTTCAACTCAACTCAAGTCAAGTCAAGTCAAGTCATGACTAGTTCAAAATATTTTCAAGTCAAGTCAAGTCAAGTCGAGCACTTTTTCAAGTCAAGTCAAGTCTGATTTCAAGTCAAGTTAGACGTTTTTAAGTCAAGTCAATTAGAGTCATAATTCATTCAAAAAGTCATCAGGTGAAGTCATTTTTTGACTTGACTTGCCCATCTTTGATTTATTATTTGTATTTTTCTTCTACATTTCAAATTAGAGTTCAAAAATTCAATTAATAAAAGTTCTCTATACATATAATTTTTGACTTGACTTGAATTTCTCTGTATGACTTGTTGCAAGTCAAGTCAAGTCATTCTGAAAATTTTCAAGTCAAGTCATGACCCATCACTGACTTGAATCAAGTCAAGTCAAGTCAAGTCATAATCCATTCAAAAAAATCATCAAGTCAAGTCTGACTTGACTTGCCCATCTCTGATAGAAGCATTGTAAGTGTGAGACGAAGAAATTCTGCAACATTTTGGTCTAAATAGGGGCATATATAGAAAAGCTGTAATCACCGGGATCGGCACCAAAAAAATGTGGTTCCACATATATATAACCATGATCAAGTGATATTCACACAATTTGTTTCTTCATCAATTTTTTCCCATGCATCTAGGGTTTTCTTCTTTTTCATAGTTCAATCAGACAATTTATATTGCCCTTAGATAAATCAACCAATAGTTTTTACTGTTGATAGAGAGAAATCCAAAGTTAGCATTTAACAATATTCAATCTGACCGATTGTGTAAAACTTGAAACAGCGAAATAAAGTTCAATAATATAGCTAGCATTATATTTCGACAATATTTTATACAGAACATGTGCATTGTAAAGATTCGGATATGATTTACATAGACTAACCTAAATGATTGTTTTACAAGTGTACTCTGTGAATGGAACAAAGTAGAGTACTCGCAACACTAAAAAGATAATTCAAGTCGAGTTTTGAATATATTCTGATTGCTCTTATTCAGATTTTCAGTTGTAATAATCTAGTCTATCGGTATCGTCTCTGATACATTTTCTATTACTTATTTGAATAAGAATAGGTCACTGTGTTATTTAGAATATTAAAAGTGTAATGTTGAACGTGTCTTATCGGATTCGTTAATTGGTCCTTAATATACCGAAAGTCATATTGATACAACTGCTATCCTGTAATTAACGAAGAAGAATATCAAGTCTTTAGTTTTACGTATTGATTTCTGCCACTATCAGAAGCTCTTCAACGCCAGAGAACAAAATCAATCTGACTTAGAGCCATTTCGTCTTATGACTCAGACTCTCTGCACATTTTAATTACTGATAAGAACAAGTAGCTATATGTTACAACACAACTAGCAGACTTTGATACGAATAATTCAAGATAGAAACGTTTTTTTGCTATAGTCAGCATAAGTTTGATAAAAGAATTAGTCATATCATATGACTCGCATGTTTTCATATTGAAAAACGAGAAAGAACAACATAGACACACCTGGCAGTTTAATCAGGCAACATACAGTTACACAAAGGATTGCTAAGATAAAAGTACATTTTATAGCAATACATCATTTACTAATGTAATGACTCTGTTATTCAGTAATAACAAAAATCATGCAAGATGCATTTAGAATCATTAGCAAATGAATTATTACTATATTTATTTGAATTTTTCGATGGAATTCAATTACTTCGTGCATTTCATGATTTAAACTCTCGATTTAATCATTTACTCTATAATCATTATCGAGTATATCGTATCGATTTTCGTTCAATATCTAAATATCAATTTGATAATCTTTGTCAATACTGTCTTCCATCAATTACTGATCAAATTATTTCGTTAACTATTTCCGATGATGATGAAACGCCCAATCTACCTGCAATTTTTCTTTCGTATAATTTTACTCTTGATAAATTTACTCGTTTACAATCTCTTTCACTCTATTCAATTCAATCATTCGCTCAATTAAGTCAATTGATTTATCAATGCCATCAACTTCCTCATTTGACTCATCTCCGTATGATCGACGGTTATAATGATGATAGAAACAATGATATACAATTTTTAATTAATAGCATTTGGAGTTTACCGAAACTTCAACATTTCTATTTAAATTATCATTCGTCAACTAGAACATGGTTCAGTAAAATTTCAACGACGTCATTATCAATTGAGAAATTATCAATTGAAAATATAGCATGTTCTCTACGAGATGTTTCACATCTATTTAAATATACGCCTTCTCTTCAACATTTGAGCATTTGCATACATTTTAATTTAGAAGATGAACAAATACCTATTGTAATTTCTTCAATAAGATCATTAAAATTAACATTTGAAAGTTCCGTACCTGTACTGATGAATGTGTTTCAAATGATGCCAAATTTAAATTCATTAGAATTAAAAACAATGGATATTTATTTAACTGGTCATAAATGGAAAAAAATTCTTATGAAATATTTATCACATTTAAAAATATTTCACTTGCGAATGTATTTTGAATTTTCGCATCGCAGAAATGTTCATGAACAATTCAATAAATTAATTGATTCGTATCGAAATTCATTTTGGATTCAAGAGCATCAATGGTTTATTCAATGCGATTGTATTTCCTTTGGAGAATATCATCATGGAATTCTGTATACACTACCATATAGATTTGATACTTTTGTTTGCTACGATACATTAGAATCGAAGTATACTTGTCCTAATGAAAGTATGTATTGGTTATATAAACGAGTCAATTATTTCCAATATATGGTACCTAAAACAGATACCATCGCTGATTCAAATTCATTACCAATTCGATTTCCGAACATTCAACATTTAAAAACGACTTTTCCTTTTGGTGATAAATTTTGGTCATATATACCCTCATTAAATCGATTGGCGATACTTGACATCATATTAGATGAACATTATACGGCTGATCAATTGCAACAATTACTTAACTTATCACCTTGTCTTTATTCATTGAGACTTTTCTATTCAATTGATTTGAAAAGATTACTAGAACGAATTACTAGTTCATCGATTCGTCGTCTTAATTTAGTAACTAAATGTTCATCTGATCTATCATATTTTAATAGTATTGAGTGTGCTACTTTAGCTGATTCACAACTTGGAAATCAATGCGAAGTTCTTTTAGTTAAAATTGAAAATCGAATAAATGTTCTAAGTCTTCTTACATCTATGAATAAACTTCGATCATTAATAGTTCAATGTAAAGATGATACATGGAACAATAAAGATCGATCATCGACTAAGGATGAACTCGTTGAATGGCTATGCAATTGCTTACCATCAGCTTATTCAATTGTAAGAGATAAAAATGAAACGTCAAATATTCGAATATGGATTAGTAAAAGTGACAACAATGTACTTCAATCATGAAATCTTCAATTTTGATGGCGAACCACTATGAAAATTTTGTATTTTTGATCTTAACTAAATGATTCTTTTAACAAGAATTTTTCATATCACTGCAATATGATATAAATTGTAACTCTTACGTTAGACAAATAATCTGCTTTTTATTAATTTTTATATCAATTCTTATCTAGTATCAATCATGAAGTTGATATGTGAAATAGACAGTGATATTGTGAGTACGAGTGTGTCACCAAGCAGAAGAGAAAAAGATCCATACCCACACTCTCAAAATTGAATGTTAAATATCTTCAAAATGAAATAGCTATAAAAGAGATTCCTAAAAGTGAAATCGGTGATTTTTCGAATAGCAATAATAAATACCTATGTTAAATAACATCGGTTCAAACTTTCAAATCATTTTAGTTTCTTTGACAGGCTTGTTTTATAAACTGCAATTGCTAATCGATGTTGAATTCAAGACTGAGAGAAAACAAAATAGTGAAGTTTAATAATCTAATTATTGTTTGCGTGAAACGTTTAATGGATTGACTCTAATGCGAGTTTCATGATGAAATAAATTTAAATGTAGCATCCAAGAAAAGGGACAGTCTTTAAGATCAACATTTATTTCATAGGATTTTGTCGAACGAATATTGGTCATACGGATCAGATGATGATCACAGTCAAGAATTAATTCAATAACATCGCCTTTTAGTAGTCACTGGTATATCCATTCACATTTTTCGAACATTTTCCATTCATGTATACTTCGTTGTGACCGGCCCAACCCTAAGATGAATTTGACTGATAAGAATTTTCCTTCATGGGTGTTGATATTGAAATAACACCAAAAAGCCACCACGGATGTACATCAAGTTGTCTATTTCAAGCCGGATTCGATGGATACCAGAATTATATTGTCTTCGGCGACGAATTTCCTCAGAAATTGGGAAAATATTGAAATTATGGCTAACAAGCTGACCATTTTCTTTAATAGATACAGGTCCACATAATCGTTCAAAGCTTTCTTTTTCCTTCCCAGGACGAACAATCCGATAGTC